ATCTTCTTCTACAGAATTAATGGATGGATGATCACCAAACTTTGTCTGTAGCATTCTTAGGTAGACTTTTATCACGTTTGCTCATATGAATTTGATTGGCCCCTTTTAGGGGCCGCTTAAGCTAAAAATAGAAATACCTTTAAATGTCTATTTCTACAGAAGTAATGGATGGATGATCACCAAAACTTGTCTGAAGCATTGTTGGGTAGTCTTTTATTAAGTTTGCTCATATTATTTTGATTGGCCCCTTTTAGGGACCGCTAAAATTAAAAATAGATATACATTTAAACGTCTATTGCTACAGAACTAATTGATGGATGATCACCAAACTTTTGTCTGTAGCATTTTTGGGTAATCTTTTATCAAGTTTGCCCATTTTAATTTGATTGGCCCCTTTTAGGGGCCGCAAAAGCTAAAAATAGAAAAACCTTTAGACATCTTCTCCTTCAGAACCAATTGATGGATGATCACCAAACTTTGTCTGTTTCATTCTTGGGTACTCTTTTATCAATCTTGCTTATATTAATATAGGGGCCACTTAAGCTAAAAATAGAAAAAAACCTTCGAACATCATTTCCTATCGAAATAATTGATAGATTTTCACCAAATTTTATAGCATTCTTAGTCTTAGGTAGTCTTTTATCAAGTTTGCTTATATCAATTTGATTAGCCCCGTTTAAGCTAAAACTTAAATACCCTAGGTCATGGCATTTCTTCAAATTATTGTTTAAACATATTCTATGCTCAAATTTGATATAAGAATATATTGACATTCCAACACTGAAAAGCAGTTGTTTCTGGTGAGCGACTCAGGGCCATCATGGTCCTCTTGTCTTAATTATGGCGTCTTGTTTTGACTGGTTAAAAATTCGCCAGTTGACATCCAAAATATTATTTAAGCTTTTGAGTAGCCATTTTTATTTTAATATATTCAATAGAGATTTTGTTTTAAGCAATAGTTCTAAACGTGAAACATGCGTGAAAAGAACTGTCACTCAAAAGTGTCTTTTTACAGACTTAAAAAAACAAACACTTTTTAAATAGCTCCGGGTATAGTCGTATAAGACACAAATATGAAATCTTCAAATTTCTTTATAAGTGCCGTCCATTAATTTTTGTGGTCGTAAACATTACACTTGAAACTATTACATTTTACGAGTAATGCATCTGATAATTTTTATATGAGTATATACATGTATTCGCGTTATTTTTTTCTATTTGCACATTTGGTAAAGAAAAACCTTGTTAACCATCTAGTGGTCTCATTTTTGACTCAATTGTCATATAACTTGTCTAGGTAATTGCTTGGATGATTCAAACATGGGTCATCTCTGATGAAAAACTAGGTCACCGGTGCTAAGAATAGAAAAATCTTGTTAACACTCTAGTGGCTACCGTTTTGACCCAAAAATCCTGGAAATTGGTCTGACAGTTTGTTTTGATGATTTCTAAGTCAAGTTTGTACATGGGTCATCTGGGGTCAAACTAAGTCACACTGCCCAAATAAGGAAAAACCTTGTTAACCTTCTTGTGGTCACATTTTTGCCTCAATTATCATCAAACATTATCATAATGCTTGACTAAATAAATGTTTGGATGAGTGCGAACATGGTTAATTTAGGATGAAAAACTAGGTCACCGGAGCTAAAAATAGAAAAATCTTGTTAGCACACTAGTGGCTGCTGTTTTGATCCAAATATCCGGGAAATTGGTCTGAAATATTGTTTTGATGATTACTAGGTCAGGTTTGATTATCGATTACCTAGGGTCAAAACCTAGGTCACCCTCCCATACGGACAAATCTTGTTAACACTGTAGTGGTAACATTTTTTACTCAATTGTCATCTAATTTATTGAGGGTACATGTCCTCTTGTCTTAATTTTTAGTACTATTTACTCTGATAGTTGGCAAAACAGGGGTACTGTACCATGACATTAGACATGTTTGGTCCTAGTTCGAGACTGGCCTAAAACTTTGCAGAGAGTTTTGAAAAGAAAATTGCTTTAATGACATTTATCATAGTCCATTTTACAATGAATATGTTGAATTATTAGCTCGACCAGTTACCATGGAATTTTATCACCACATATGTCTATTGTACACATATTTGTCTATTTGTACATAAAAAGGTTGAATAATGCTTCCCATCCTACGGTGGCTCTTGTTCTTTACTGGTTCTTGGTAGAGTTAGTTAGCTCCTATACTCAAAACACGTGTGCATACTTATCTAATTTTGTTATCTCGAATCATTCTGTGCATGTATATTTTTTTCACATGGTGGAATATGCTTTCAGAGACGAGACAGAATGTGTTGTATCTGTTATGCAATCATTACAGGAGGAAAATTGAAGAGACAAATTAAGTCTCATAAGATCACGCATGAAGAAGTTGCTAACATTTTAAAAAAAACCACCAATGAACAAAACAAGTGGTTTGAGAGAAAAAGGATTAAGGGAATGTATAATTTCAATGTACCACACTTAACTGAAACTGAACTAATGACAGAAAGAAAACCAAAGAAGCAGGATGAAGTCAGAATGTGTATGAAGTGTAAACGTTTTTTTCCAAATCGTACATTCTATAAACATAAAGAGAAATGTTCAGATGAGTCAGAGGCAATAAAACTACAGTCTCTTCAGCAGCTCAATATTCACAAAGATCATAATTTGTAATAGACGTACTTTTCATTAGGAAAAATAAACTGGTTCAAGTCATTGGGTACAAGCATTATCTAATGAGGAAGGTTGAATCCAGCAAGCTTAAGGAAGTAAAGAAAGAGGTGATTAGGGAGATGAGAGAACTGGCCAGGTTGTTTCTGTGCTCTAAATCACTTGCAGAACCCAATGTTACCTTTGAAGACATGTACACTACAGGGAATCTGACATTACTTAAGGAGGCCATTACCAAGCTATGTACACCAGAAGAAGAAGAAAAACATGAGCTGAAAGTGAATTTGAACAGTATCTTTCAGAAGAGTATGAAAATATTGAAAGGTTTTTATGCAGAATCATCACAACTATCAAAGAAGAAACAGCTCAAAAGTTTCAAAGAAGCATATGATTTTAACTTACCTAAGATTATGTAAAGCTAGATATAACACAGAAAAAACTCGCTGAAAAAAGCAAGACTGCCCAAAAAGTTACCAGTTGAAGAGGAAATAAAAAAAAAACTGAAAGGATTTATCAGTGCAGAAATAAACCATATTGTCTTTGTCAATACACATGGCTAAGATCTTTAGTTGTATCCAGGCTTACTCTTTATAATGCACGAAGAGATGAAGAGGGGTCAAGAATTCTTCTTGATGAATGGGACGATGCTTTAAAGGGAACTTTGGTTCCAGAAGACAGTATTGAAAAACTAAATGATGATGTTGAATAATTTCTGGTTGGCCAATTTCGACCAGCATGCATGGCTGGCAAAGGGCGAAAATATGTTCAAATATTGATTCAAGTTGATTTAATAGAGGCTGTCCAACTGCTTATTGATAACAGGCACGAATTTGGTATTGATAAGAGCAACAACTTCTTATTTGCCACCAAGAGCTCGAAATCTGTTCTGGATGGCATGCTGTGAAAGGTGTTAGTGATTGCCGCAAAAAAACAGACATCGGGCCTCTCCTGTGTATGCCAGCCTAGATATGACAGATGCTGATAGAAGGATTTTTTGACCACCTTGGACATGATGAGAATATAAACAAGGACAATTATCAGTGTCCTCCAGGTCTTCATGGGGAGGGTTCTCAATTCTTTAGAATTCTTCATAAATCAAAGATAGCACGTAAAATGGATTTCAATGCTCTTCTAATTCCAAGATGAGGTACAAGACGGTATAAAGAAATGAGCATTACCTTAGTGTGTCTGATGCCAACACTATAAAGTGTTGAGAATTGAGTACCGCTCAAGCCGGTGCTAGGGGGCGTGAGGGATGTTGCACTTATTCATTATCCCTCATGTACAGACTCAATCAAACCGAGTCTGCAATTCTTATGTTATTTTGTTGTGATTAGTGCTTCCGAGGGATCACTTTGTTTCCAGAATTTTGCATTTCTATCAAATTTTGATTTGACATTTTTTTTGAGAAACTACATATACATTTAACCTTTTCCCTTATAGAAGCGAGAATCGCCGTCTTTTTTACCATTCCCTGATAGAAGCGAGAATCGACGGCTTTATCGATTACCGCATGTAAGCGAGAATCGCCGACATGCATGATCTCAATGGAAGCGACTTTCGCCGACTTCAATCATTACCTGTCCAAAAATCAACAATTTTCCCGGAAATCAGACCTGTAATTTGTGTTATCGTAAAGATCAACATTTCATGAGGGGATTCCGTTCATAAAATTATGGTGTTACAATTTAAAGTTTTTGTATAATTAGCGACCAACCAGGTGAGGGGTTTTCCTTACGTCACGCAGTTAATGAGTGCGCTGGTCAATGAAATAAATATAGAACGTATCGTGAGACAGGAACAAAAGTGTCTAAAAATAGCAACTCATGAATAAAAAGTATTTATATGATCACGGGTCGTTCACGTGCCAGGCATGGTTTGATGAATTTTATGTTTGTTTTGGTTTATGACAGCTGACATGTGTATATACACGGATTTATTAACACCCTGACTAGGGGTATCTCTCTGGCCCCTGCAATCAAATATTTCCGGTAGCAGCGGCGATATTTTTAAGAAAATGACCGACAAAGAAATATTTCAAAGTTTAAATTCTTTCATGTGCGCTATTGTTTTCATAACAGACACAGCATGGGGCCGTGTATTACACGATATGATAAAATCATATTCCATATATCATCTTTGATGTCGGCAACATGAAAATGCCGAAAAAGGCCGTGGAACTCCAGGATGTCTTTCCCTTATCATCATTTGATCTAAATTAGATCTATAAATAATAAAATTTAATTAAATTTTACCAGTTCGTTCGAGAACATCTGCGCTATTATATCGCTAATTAATCTCATTAGTACGCTAATTACACTTGTCAAACTATGTCTATGATGGCAGATTTTAACTTTGATTCTGATGATGACTCTGATTTTTCTGGATTTGGGCCGTCTGATATAGATTTAAGTTCTTCTGATTCGTCGTCCGACGACGTCGATAATGTTGCCGATGCTGGAGTCTCAACTTTGACAAATCGTCTGCTACCGCCAAGGGTACATATATACTTATATTTGACAGCCATATAATAAAGTATATTGCCAAAATACAAAAAAAAACTTCTCTCATTGTCAGAATTTTATTTCTAATTACAATAGAATAAAAAAGAGACAACAATACAAATATACAGAAGCATTTATTTTATTACATATGAAACAGTGAATGACATAAAATATATATATATATATATATATATATATATATATAAGTAAAAATAAATAAATATAAAATAATAATAATAAACAAACAACCACCAAAAAAAAAAAAGAAAAAAGAAAAACAAGAGAAATTGTGTTGAAAAAAAAACTAATTTTTTTATTACTTTCCAGGTTGAAGACTTTGTTGGAGAGCCTGGGCCGAACCTCCCTGATGGTTTTGATGTCAGTACAGCCACACCGTTAGACTTCTTCAAGTTTGTTTTTCCAGTGAGCTTGATCACCTACCTAGCGGACATGACCAACCTGTATGCCAACTGGAGGCAGGCCCAACCTGGAGTAGACCTGGATGACAGATGGGAAGAGACAACTGAGGCAGAGATGCGAGCATTCCTAGCCATCAACATCCTTATGGATATCAACATTCTACCAACTTTGGAGATGTATTGGTCTACGAAGATGCTCATCGGGAATGTAGGTGCCCAGCAGATCATGACATGCAACCGGTTCCAGAAGCTTTCTAAGTACTTTCATGCATCAGACAGAACCGGTGACCGTCCACGTGGCCATATAGACTACGACCGCCTCTACAAGGTACGGCATGTCATGACTACCCTGTCAACAACCTTCCGAGAAATGTGGACACTGTCACGGGAAGCCACGGTAGATAAGGCCATGATCGCATTCACCGGTAGGTTGTCCTACATGCCAGCCAAGCCGATCAAGCGGAGGATCAAGCTCTGGATGCTGTGCGACGCCAGAACTGCCTATGTTCATCGTTTCGAGGTGTACCTTGGCAGACAGGAGAACAGGCCAGAACATGGACTTGGGTTCAACGGAGTCACCACACATACAGATCATCTCCAGCACACCCACAGGTGGATCTTCTTTGACAACTTTTTCACGTCTATTGAGTTGATGAAGCGTCTCCTTGAAGATGGCCTCTACGCCTGTGGGACTGTGAGGGTAAACAAGAAAGGTTTTCCGTCTGAGCTAAAGAAACCTAGAGACATGCGTGACAGGGGAGCCTACAAGTCGCTTCAGTGCCAGGGCTTGACAGCAACTGTTTGGAAGGACAAGCGACTGGTCCACCATCTTTCAACTGTTGGGGATCCAACCACAGTGCTAATGGCCACAAGACATGCTGGACCTCGTGCAGAACAGTACATGCAGCAAGAGCCGACTTCCCTCTACAACCAGTTTATGGGAGGAGTTGATCGCCATGATGCTCGACGTGCCAAGTTTGGTGTAGGTCGACCTGGGAAGAAAGCCTTGAGGTACTGGTTCCTTCTCAACAGTGCCATCGTCAACGCATATATCATCTACAAGAAAGCGTCCACCAGATCGCACTCCAAGAAGAGATTTGAGCACATGGACTTCCGAATTGAATTGATCGAGGAGCTTATTGCCGGATTTGCCAAGCGAAAGCGAGGACCTGGGGATCGGGCAGCTTTGGTAGCACTGGTTGACCAGGAAAACCAGCACCTACATAGGAACGAGCGGATGCCAGGTGATAAGGGTGCCAGGTGCCGATACCACAGGGCGTATCTCAACAAGAGGAAAGAGACTGTGTATGGATGCCGCATCTGTAATGTCCACCTCTGCAAAGTTGGCTGCCATGCGAGGTACCACGAACTCAGCCAAGATCAGTGAGATGGGTTTTTATAGTGAAATATCAACTGGAACTGTTTTATGGACTATGATAATGATTACGGATAAATTTCAGGATTTTGATCAGTGATAACTACTTGAACTGTTTTATGGACATTGATAATGATTAAGGACAATTTTGTGGGGGATGGGGCGGGCCATGATAAGAGCGCCTCCTCGTGGTGTGGCCTGGATATGGCTGGATAATTTCCTTAATTCTTCCATCATTGCTCTTCATCTGAAAAAAAATAAAAATAAATAAATAAAAAGTAATTGATAAATAAACATTACAAATTATCCAGCCATGACTGAACGCTCTTACTTTTGTATGTTTATAAATAATAAAATTACTCATGTAGACATATTTGTATACACCCAACAAATATGATATTTATACCATTTGAAAAGTATTTCAATTCTCTGCAAACTTTTTATTGATACAAAAATTGTCAAAACACAACTTAATACTTTATTTTCCAGTTAAAGTATATAGGTATCTAATTTGACCATTTTTACCTATATTTTATCATACCCTTTATGGAGATAGTGTGTGACTCCTTATCAGTAGGATATTGATTATTGATTATCTATCTGGCTACTGTATTATGGGGTGTAAAGCAGTAAATTAAAGGGGCTGTATCAAGGAAAAGTTTTAATCGATGCTTGATATTTGGTTCTTCTGCAGGTTTTGTTAACAGAAAACTTTCAGCAAACAAAAAATTTGCTTTCACACTATTCAACTTAACCTACTTAATTTAAGTGCTGGTAGTCATAAAAGGGAATATGGTCTTAAGCTTAACTTTTATTGATATGACATTAGTTATTATTCAATAATCAGCAATTTGGTAATTTTTAAAAACTGAATGATATCATTAGTTTACACAAATTTATTTTAGTTTGATTGTGTTGGAAGCTATTACCTTATAGAACACTCTAATCCATTCCTGGAAATAACCAGTACTAAACAATTAATGTAAAGTTTCTTGCTCAAGGAAACAACGACAGACCCACTCAGCCACGCCGCCACCTGATAGCATTGACTCATGTTCATATAAATAAACACTTCTAGTAAATTTAAACTTATTGTTTATATTGATTCACGTTTGCTCAGGGAAACTAGATTATAGTTGAGTTGACTTTGCTTTTATCTTATATTCCTAGTTGGGGTAATTTCATGAAGTCACACTTTTTGAATACTTTGGCCTATTGTTTTTTTTGCAGATTGGTATTTTCTAAGACATTTCTGCAGAGCTTTATTGTCTGTTTAGCTAGTCATTCAGTGACAATTTCCTTGGGGGGAAAACGGAGGGACTTTGTATTTTAGGTGGCCACTGTCCCATTCATTTCCATGTTATTATAACGTTATTATTCTTCATGCTATTACATAGTTGCACTAATTTAGCATAGATTATTGGCAATTGCTGACATAAATGCCCAGAGCTCAAAGGTTAAATATGTGTTGAAAATATTTTTTTCCCTCATATATTTTTTCATGGAGGCATTTTTGATAAACTTTGCACAGATGATCACCATAGCACTGTATATGACATGAAAATCTGAGCACCTACTTCATAAGCTGACAGGTAAAGGTCATGGTGGAGGTTTTTGTCATTTTACTACAATTTTTTCCTGTATATAATTAATTTGACATACATGAAGACATTTGTCGATCCTTATTAGCTGGAAATGCGGAATATATCCTTGCTGCAAAGGGTTGTTTTTAGTATAAATATAACAAGGATTAAACAGTGTATGATATATATTTTGTTTCAAAATTGCAATGAAAGGCCATGTCATTACTGAAATCTGCAAGAAAGCTGGTAAAAAGAATGCTGGTAAGACAACACATATGGTGCACATGTGTGTGTCAACTGTTTCTATTTTTTTAATCAAGTATTGTCGTTTAATTTGTCCATAATGTACTCTTTGTGGTGTAAAGTAAACAGATTCTAGCTATCCTTTAGTGTGCATTTATGTATTTAAAATAATGTATCATTTATGTTCACCACATGATAACATGATCCAGATCCTATCGTTGTACTTTGAAAAAATATTAGCATATACTACCTGTTTGTACTGCTAGCTTTGCTTTACCACATGAAAAGTGTCACACTCATGACTCATCTCCCTATTATTAAGGTCAAGGTCACAAAGGGAGAAGAAAATAATATAGACTTGTGAATTAGTCCATAATGGAAGATCTTCACTAACTTAAATAGTCATGTTGATAGTGTTTAGTATCATACATGTCAACAATAAATGAAGGAATAAAATAAGAATGTTGTCAGACAGTTAGTGTAAGATTATGATTCGATATTACATATAAATATATATAGTACATAATAAAGTGTTCTAGAACGTTGATGAATCCCCATAAGAATATCCAAATGATACATTTTTGTGTCGCCTCTACGGAGTAGTGGCGACATATAGGGATCACTTCTCCGTCGTCTGTCTGTCCGTCTGTCTGTCTGCCTGTCTGTCCGTCCGTCCGTCACAAAACTTGTCCGGACTACCCCTCATAAACTACTGGTGCAATTTCATCCAAACTTTACAGGAATGATCAGTATTAAATCTAGTTGTGCATATTGTCAGCATTTTCCGGTTCAATGATTATTGTCAGAGTTATGTCCCCCTTTAATAATTTTTAATTTTAAAGTTTGTCCGGACTACTTCTCTTATACCACTAATGCAATTTCAATGAAACTTTACAGGATTGATCTGTAGCTCAAGTCCTTGCGCATATTGCAAGGGTTTTCCGGTTGAATGATTTTTGGCCGAGTTATGGCCCTTTGATAAAAAGGTGTTTTTTTCTGTGTGTTGCCAGATACACAATAGCTTGTCCGGACTACTCCTCATAAACTACTGGTGCAATTTCATCCAAACTTTACAGGAATGATCAGTACCAAGTCTAGTTGTGCATATTGTCAGCATTTTTCGGTTCAATGATTTTTGTCAGAGTTATGGCCCTTTAATAATTTTTATTTTTAAAGTTTGTCCGGACTACTTCTCTTATACCACTTATGCAATTTCAATGAAACTTTACAGGATTGATCTGTAGCTCAAGTCCTTGCGCATATTGCACGGGTTTTCCGGTTGAATGATTTTTGGCTGAGTTATGGCCCTTTGATAAAAATGTGTTTTTTCTGTGTGTTGCCAGATACACAAAAGCTTGTCCGGACTACTCCTCATAAACTACTGGTGCAATTTCATCCAAACTTTACAGGAATGATCAGTACCAAGTCTAGTTGTGCATATTGTCAGCATTTTTCGGTTCAATGATTTTTGTCAGAGTTATGGCCCTTTAATAATTTTTATTTTTAAAGTTTGTCCGGACTACTTCTCTTATACCACTTATGCAATTTCAATGAAACTTTACAGGATTGATCTGTAGCTCAAGTCCTTGCGCATATTGCACGGGTTTTCCGGTTGAATGATTTTTGGCTGAGTTATGGCCCTTTGATAAAAAGGTGTTTTTTCTGTGTGTTGCCAGATACGCAAAAGCTTGTCCGGACTACTCCTCATAAGCTACTGGTGCAATTTTATCCAAACTTTACATGATTGATCAGTACCAAGTCTAGTTGTGCACTGTCCGTCTGTCACAAAATTTGTCCCAACATGAAATTGGCCATTATGAGGCGACACATGTGATTACTGATCGCTCTTGTTATTGTTTTATCAACATTTGAAAAACTTATTAGAAAATGTATCTTAAGTAGACCAATCCACTTTTATATTCAAACTGTAACTTTGTTATACAATGAAAACAACATGTCCAAATTCCTTACATGGAAGGTTCTTTGGCTGCAGCTTTTTATTCATGGGCTGACTTGAAAACAACAAATATCATCCATACGTACGTATATGTGTTGATTTGAAATTTCATGATAATTTGGCACATTTGATTATAAAAGACAACATGTTACATTCATGGCCCATGACTTTAGATTTTAAACCTAGGGCAAAACGTCCACAACTTAGCCATCAAAAATATTCTAATTCTATTTGGTATCTTTCTAGGTTCTCAGGAAACCTATTTAGGTGCATTTGTTTAGTGTATATAAAAAATACATTTTGAAAACGCTCTTCTTTTGTGAAAAATAATAGGTTATCATACATATATTTTAGTAAGAGGAAGAGGAAACGAGAAAGAAATTGTTAAGGAGCACCTAGCTTTCCTATTTACTGTTTGAAAATTCCTATTTCTCCTCGTTTTAAATTACTAGCCATTTTATTTCATATAAACTACTATTTTTTGGCTTTAAAGTAATAATCTTTTAACAATATCACACTGCCTGTTGGCTAACAGCTATTTTAATCTTTAGTCAAAATAGATTCTCATGTATCAGGTTCTTTCTGTTGGAGTAAAGAAGCAACAGACAAGGTAAAGGGAGATTTCAAGAAGTGGATAGAGTTACCAACAGGAAATAGTTAACCGAGTAAGTATGATTAAATATATTATGTATATTGTAGTAGTAGTAGCTTTAATTCCTTGAAACGAAGGATAGTTTGTTTTTGGAGAGAAAATTAAGATGATATATTGGGTTCAAGGTTAAAGATGTATTAGGCTCAAATTTGATATTTGAAAATATTGTTAATTGCTAAACAATTCCTTTGTAAAGGTCAAAATAACATGTTTTGAGTACACATGGAGTAAATGTATGTTTTGAACTCTACACACTACAGGCAGACACAGTATGAATACACAGTGTAATTATAAAAACTGGCAGTTTTTTTTAAGAAATGGCCACTTAGCTTGACTAGTAATTGGGAATGCAGTTTCCAATTCACAGTTTGTGCTTTCTATTTTTCAAATGAGACATAATCTGTAAAAATTCCATAGATTTCAATAAATTTCTGCAATGAAAATATTTTACTAAAAGATGAGCCAAGTAAGATCACGGCCGATAAGCAAGTTTTTTTTCCTGAAAAAGGATTGTGAATGTGTAATTGGTTTTTATTTGTGTTTAAAGTTTGGAGGATATTGTCTCAATAAGAAATGA